ACACATTTACTCAAACATTTGATGAGTATATTTGGGTAGTAGGAAATCCAGTAATCACTGGATTTACATGGACAAATGAAACCAAAATGATTTTGTATGTAAGAATCTCAAATATATTATGTGAAATGAAGGATAAAAACAGTTTTTGCTGAGTGTTATTAGTAAATAGAAGAGGAGAACAGGGGGCCTGGAGGACCCCTGTGACCCCATGTTGATATTTAGCTAGAATTATTTTTCTCCTAGGAACTTGAGGACAAGAGAAATGAACCCTGTGAGGAACCAGGTGGAAACTTCTTAGCATTGAATATGTCTTACAGGAAGGTCAAGAGGCAAGGAAGGTTCTAGGGATAGACAAAGGTAGTAGGACTCAGAAGGAACTGTCCCCCCCAGTGTAAGTTCCCAGAGACTTACTGCTTGACAGAAGTGGCATTTTTTGTATTAAGAGAGCAAAATGGCTCACTTCTTCTCTAGAAGAGTGTTCTTTGGCCTACATACCTTATGATTCTCATTCCATTGTTTACAGACCAGTACTTAAAGTTTATTCCATATATTCTTAGAGAGATTTAGCAATCTTATTTTTCTCCATTTTTCTTTTATTTATATTAGAAACAAGATTGTTGCTGGGCGTTGGTGGCGCATGCCTTTAATCCCAGCACTTGGGAGGCAGAGGTAGGTGGATCTCGGTGAGTTCCAGGCCAGCCGAAAAGCACAAAACCTACAAAAAGAAACCCGTTTTTAAAAAAAAAAAAAAAAAAAAAAAAAAAAAAGAAAGAAAAAAGAAAAAAGAAACAAGATTGTTTTACATGTCAATCCCAGTTCTCTATCCCTCTGCTCCTCCCCTGGCCCTCACTAACACCATACCTATCCCATACCAATTCTGCTTCACAGGGAGAGTGAGGTCTTCTAGGGGGTGTCTTTCAGAGTCTGTCATATCCTTTGAGATAGGGCATAGGCCCTCCTCTGTGTGTCTAGGCTGTGGGAGTATCCTTCTATGTGAAATGGGCTCCCAAAGTCCATTCCTATGCTAGGGGTAAGTACTGATCTACTACAAGAGGCTCCATAGATTTCTGAGGCCTCCACACTGACATCCACATTCATGGGGTCTGGATCAGTTCCATGCTGGTTTCCCAGTGATCAGTCTGGGTGCCAAGATCTCCCCCTTGTTCAAGTCAGCTGTTTCTGTGGGTTTCACCAGCCTGGTCTTGACCTCTTTGCTCATCACTCCTCTGCAACTGGATTCCAGTTCAGTTCAGTGTTTAGCTCTGGCTGTCTGCTTTTTACTTACATCAGCTGCTGGATGAAGGCTCTAGGATGGCATATAGTCAGTCATCATTCTCATTATCAGGAGAGGGTATTCAAGGTAGCCTCTCCACTGTCTCTTAGATGGTTAGTTGGTGTCATCCTTGTAGATCTCTGTATATTTTGCTAGTCCCTGATTTCTCTTTAAACCTATACTGGCTCCCTCTCTGATGGTATCTCTTATTTTTCTCTCCTCTATTCTTCCCCCTACACAACCTTCCTGCTCCCTCATGTCCTCCTCCCCCTCCTCTTCTCCCCTTCCCATTCTCCTAGTTCCCTCTCCCCTCTTAAAAAAAATTGAGATTATAATATGATTACTTTTCTCGATTTAAGATCAATGAGCACATGACGTATTTACTGCAGTTGAGAGTGTTATACTTGCAGGTTGACTCGCACATTAAGGCTGCTATAAGACTAAAGTTTTCTTTTTCTTTTCTCAAAGCAAATGCCTTAGCCTACTGGGTACTGAGCTGCCAGTCTTCTCACAACAGCCCGGCTGCCTTCCACACTTTCTCTTGCATTGATGCCTCTGCACTTCACACAGGAAGGCAAACCTGGCCTGCAGTGCAGTGGAGGTCAGCTGTGAATTCAGTCCTCCATAGAACCCTAAGCTGACTTTAAAATTAGGAATGTTTTTGCTGGGTTTGCTTGTTTGTTTGTTTGATTATTTTGTCTGTTTGCTTGTAACCCCAAGGGCATTGTTCTTGAGCTTGAACTATACAGATGGCAGCATACATAGTCAAATAGTTGGACACTCCTGGCTTTTGACAGAATTCTGTAAGAGCTTGTGAATCTAGGCTGGGCAAGTGGCTTAGACTGTGAAGAGCTTGCCTGTAGACTCAAATAGCACCCAAGTGAAAAGTTGGACATGGCCACTGGCATCTGGAAGCCCTCATCTGGGTATGAAACTTTCAGATCCCAGGGGCTCCGTAGCCCACAGTCAAGCACATATGGCAAGATTCCAGCTCAGCCCAAGATCCTGTCTCAAAAAACAAACAAACAAACAAACAAACAAAAAAAACAAGCACATATGGCAAGATTCCAGCTCAGCCCAAGATCCTGTCTCAAAAAAAACAAACAAACAAAAAAAAAAACAAAAAAACAAAAAGCAAGCAAGCAAACAAACAAAAATCACAGTAAAGAGCAATAGAAGACTTCTGGGTTTTACAGGAATGGACATGAGTATAAATATGCACACATACACATGGGCACACTCGGGTAAACATTCTGTAATCTCCACACATAAAAGCAAAGAATGAAAGCTTATGGGTCCTAATAGCTGCAACTAAATGATCTGAGTTAAGATATATTAGCATAGTTTCTGAGCCTTTCTCACTTGCTGCTTTTGCAGGCTGTGATTTAATTCTCAGTTTTCAGAAGTTTAACTGCCCTTCTGCAACTGTTATTTTAAAGGAAGGTGATTACATATGAGTAGGGTGTGGATGTTTTCTTTTTCTGTCTTCCTGCTCTCTTGTAAAAGAACTGAGCTTAGTCATATTACTTGTTCCTTCCACCAATGTGATTGGTGTGTGTGTGTGTGTGTGTGTGTGTGACACACACACACAGAGAGAGAGAGAGAGAGAGAGAGAGAGAGAGAGAGAGAGAGAGAGAGAGAGAGAAAGAGAGAATTTCTTTATGTCTTAGTGTTCATAGTTGATCATAAGTTGAGAATGAAACATTTTTGGACTTTGTGCCTGTAAAGCAGAGGTGGGGTTTGGGAGCTTGGCATTAAGGAAGTGAACATGTACATAGAGAGATTGCATTAATGGCTGTAGGGGAAATAGGCCACTTTGGGAGTAAAACTCTCTGCTCAGCTTTGTACTAGCAGGGAAGGAATTTTTACACAGGTACCTTAGGGATAATTCTTAAGATTAGTAAGGGAAGAAAGAGAGAATTTAGAACGGCTTTAAGGACTTTTCTTCCCATGGATATTGATTGTTTATATTTTAATATGGAAAATTCCAAATTCAACTGAGCTCAGTTGAACATGAGGGGCCAGTGGGGCTCCACACAGACCTCTTAAGTCCCCTAATGTCTGTTGGGACTGTGAAGAAAGAAACTCATTTGCTTGCCTTGTAAGAATGGGAGAGAGGAAGAAAACAATGGGTGCAGAGAGGCTAGGTCATTCAAGGAGCAAGGAATATGTGTTTACTGACTGTTGCATTCTTTCTAATTTAGTGCTGGGAATCTGGGAACCCTGGGATTGTTGGCAGTGAAAAGCCAGATGGCCAACTCTGTAGACATTTCTATGAAAAGAGAAGAGCTAGGACAAGCCAAGAGACTTTAGGAAGGAGCTGATAAATGAGGGGATCAGTTAGAAAAAGGCTAGTAGTCATTGTGGTTGTATGAAGTTAAGGCCCTGGGTGTTATTAATCATTAATTCAGTGTTTATATGTGAAATTGTTGTATGCACTGGTGAGCTTCATTTTTTTTTCTTGTTTGGTTATTAGGGCTGGTTGGCTCTCCAGATGCATACATTTGTTAATGATTAATGTGGGAATTCTTCTATATTTTACACAAGTAATAGACCTTTGGCTGGGAAACAATAAGAAGAACTCTCCCGGGGCCTGAAAGTTCTCTTTCTATCTTTAACTCTTCTGAAAGCCACAGGAAGCGCTACCAACTACTTATACATCTTTAAAAACTGCAAAGGAGGAGGCAGGGGAAATGCTTGATGCTGACCTGGTTCACTTTCTGAAATAGGAAGTTAGTTTTGGTGTCTACTAAAGCAGAGGATACCCAGATGACATCAGTCCAGGCCAATCATAGAGGACAGGGTACTAAAAATCTATGGACTTGAGTGAGGGGACAAAAGCAAAACTGAAACGAAGTATGTGCACAAAAGCTTCTTGAACAATTCCTCGTAAAGTCTGAGTCTTCTTTAAATGCCCAAATGGGATTTTTTTTATTTTCCCTTTGATTTTTATGTCAGAATTTTGAACTACATTTGCCTTTTATATGATCTTTCAACTGTATCTTGTATAAAGAGATTGTAAATGACTCTCTAATTTAGCAGGGAGTTTGCATTGTATTTACTTGAAATCAATAACTTATATGTATAAATTCAATTAATAAGGCCATATTAGCTCAGCAACATAGTATTTATTTGCCAAAGATAAAAGCAAATTAATATGCATACATATGCTTAATGAGGGATGAGAGCATTGTGTAGTATGTTCAGGGAAGGATTAGCTTGTTGATGTGGGTTCAGTGATGGTGCATGGACCCACATTTTGTTTAGCAGTGACTCTCACAGCTGTGTGTGATAGCAATGTTGACATTATTTTTTTTAAAGATTTTATTTATTTATTATGTATACAACATTCTGCTTCCATGTGTATCTGCACACCAGAAGAGGGCACCAGATCTCATAACAGATGGTTGTGAGCCACCATGTGGTTGCTGGGAATTGAACTCAGGACCTCTGGAAGTGCAGTCAGTGCTCTTAACCTTTGAGCCATCTCTCCAGCCTCGACATTATTTTTGAAATACAAACTTTATATAACAGGAATGTGTTATTATACACATTTTCCCTGTGTACCATGTTTAAAAAGCTAGACCTCAGCATTGTTGTAGCTTCTTGTTACCTCTTTTGTCTAACAGAGCAATGGAATGTATTCAACATAATGACACTACAAATACATTAAAAATCCGTGTTCACAGTACTGCAATGTAAAATAACAGTTTTGTGTATTTTTCAGAAAACGCATGTTTCAGAAGAGATGGGTGAAATTTGATGGCCTTAGCATTTCTTATTACAACAATGAAAGAGTAAGTACATTTACAGTCTTCAAAGGTTATTTTACATATACTAAGTACACTTTAGGAAACTTTATAGTTTAGCATTTTAATGAATAGAAAATACCAATGTGAAAAAGAAGTGGAATATGACAAAATAATTCTTTTAACAGACATGAAAGATCAATTTTTTTTAGCTTATGCCTTTAATAGTTATTTATGGATCATCGTCTATAAACAATAGGAGATGCTATGAGCAATGTAAAGGTGAATACTAGATTGCTTTCATCCAGTAAAACATCAAGGGATGTAAACAAATCATATTGCAAATAGAAAATTAAGAAGCAAGGAGGATTTGCCTCATTCTCTGGGAGTGAGAAGTGTTTTGATGAAATTCTGTTTGCTATGATTTTGGAAGAAAAGAAGTTTGTATGTGCAGAAATGGGAGAGAATAAGAATTAATTACAGAAAGAATATGCAAGAAACTCACATGAGAAAGCATTGGCCATTTCACAAAACAGGTAGTGATTGCTGATTATTTTGTGACTGAGCTTTGTGAATGGGAGATGATGCTAAGAAAGCGGTGTAGTTAGAGCCTACAGAAAAGTCTTATCAGTGAAAGTAGCAGGGGGCTATTCCTTGGGCAATTGAATCTTAATGAATGGCAGAGTTCTAGGAATATCTTCTTAAGCTTTGATGATGTCCTTCTTCTAAGGAGATATAGAATGAAATATTTGTGGGGATCATGTAATTATATCTGAAAATAGTAAAAATATTACCTGTGCATACATTTACATCCACTGATATGTAAATGTGTTTGTATGCACACGCATAGTTAAAAATATCAAATTCTGTATTTCGTACCGTTATATGGTACATGGTCAGCCCCCTGTATCCTAGCTTGTGCATGGGTGTGAGCTGACACAACTATGTATCAGAAATATGAAAAACATGTTCAATCTATATGGGACATGTTCATCCCTTTTGCTTACCATTCTCTAAATGATACAGTAAAGCAAGAGTTTACATAGAATTTCCATATATAAGATACTATAAGTAATCAGGAGGTGATTAGGACTGTAGGAGGATGTGTGGAGATTATATGAAGGCATGATACCCTTTTAATTAATGGCTTGAGCATTTGCTGGTCTTGGTGTCTGAGGAGTTTCTGGAATAAATCCCCCTCAGATACTGAGGACATTGTGATCAGCTGTTAAACTTAGAAGTTACATGAGTAACCTCTGAATCTCCCTTTTGACTTTCGTTTGGTCATTTTCTCAGAGGAAAGGTAAAACTGGTCAATATACCATGTTTTAACTTACTAAAATGAGAGACACTTTTCCTCCTAATTATATTTTATCTTTAAAGTTTTAATATTAGGACATATCCACATTTTTATTTATATACCAACTTAACATTGTTTTCTCATTAGAAGTTTATGCTGTATAATATTTGTGATAAGATTTTTTGGCTTGAGGAGAAATGTCTCTTTACTGCTGTAAGGCAGAAAAGTATATATACTTATAGACAGACAATAAATAACCTGGCTGCAACGAATAATTGCAGCCATGCTGAGAACTGTAGAAGGCTTCAGGTTGTTTGATTTCATTTTTACAGTGACCTGTATAGAGTAAAAAGTTGGTTTAAACAAACAGCTGCATGGTTAGCAAAGTTGTGGGATGAAGGTTGTTCATCATTATTTGCTACAGCAGCTATTTTTATTTGTTTATGTAACTGACCATCTTGATGTTTCACATGTGTCCATGATGTACAGAGTGAATTCAGTGTTGCTAGTTGTAAGGATTAGTCTTTCTGCCAAAGCCCGAGCCCTGCTGCCATGTGGGCATTTTCTACCAGGCGGCCCGAGTTCCACCCGCCACCACATTAAGGTCCCAAGTAACACACAGAGACTTATATTAGGTACAAATGCTGCTTGACCAACTGACTAGGATTTCTTACTTGCTAGCTCAGTCTTAAGTATCAACCATAAGACTTTCCTTTACATTTCCCAGAATCCTCCTTGACTCATAGTCCCGCCTAACTTGCTTCTTCATTGGCTAACTGCCATAAGACTTTCCTTTACATTTCCCAGAATCCTCCTTGACTCATAGTCCCACCTAACTTGCTTCTTCATTGGCTAACTGTACTTTATTCAACAACCAATAGGATAAACATACAGAGAAGAACCTTCCCCATCACCTAGTCCTGAAGACATCTTTTTTTAGTGACCATTGTTTTTCTCTTTTACTATTATTTTCTCATACAATATGTGAATCATGTTTGTTTGCCCCTTTCCCAACTCCTCACAGATCATTCACACCTCCCTCCCACCTAACTTTGTGTTCATTCTCTCTCTTTCAGAAATAAGTTAAAGTGAGCTAAAAAAAGAAAAAAAAAACCCAAAAGCACTAAGACAAAAAATATGACAAAATGAAACAAAAAAAGAAAATGTTTCAGCTGTTAAAAATTAGACCCATAATCAAAATGATGTCAGAGAAACTATTGCCAGTTTCACGCAATGTCTGGGTCTTCTCTTTGGTTTTGTTGACCTATAGAAGAAATGTATTTGGGGACAAGGAAAGCTTCATTGCCAGGTGGCTTTGTTGGCTGGGTTTCACTACTCCCATTTAAGAAGGAATTTCTACTTTGTTTCCAAGTGGACTGGTTTTCTCTGCATCATCTCAGAGCCCATCACAGCTGCAGTGGAGTGAGCCTGTTGTCACTTTAGATATTCATATCGCAAAAATTGTTATTAAAAGTTTATAGTCATGTGATTTCCTAGAAATCATTCAGCCAAGCATCATTCTTCAAAAATATTCCAGACATATTACTCTCCAAACATTTTATACACTTGCATCCAGATGGTTGATTTCATCTTACCACAAACCTTCTACCATTTGAGTGTTGTTTCTTAAAAGGAGGCAGTTTGTAACTGGGGGCCCTCTGAAAAGACTTGCACTTATGGATCCCAGCTAGTGCTCTGGTTGGCTGTGCAGTTTAGCAACTGTGTGGATAGCACATCTGAGACACTGATGTGCCCCTAAGTGTGTGGTTGGGCATCAGGAGGTGGTGTGCAGAGGTTCCCAGTTTCTGATTTTCTTCTGTGGTCCTTCCTCAGTGTTGCCCAATGATACCTCCGTGAGGACTTCTGCATTTTATTACAGAAACAGTGTCTACCACACAGCCCTCATATTTGATCCCCTGCTAGGAAATCTAACTCACCCTTATTCCCACTCATCTGTGGGAAGAATTGCCCTGTGGTTGTTTCATCATCTGAAATGGCAGCTAAATGACAGATTTGACCTAGATATCTGTGTGGTACAACCTCAAGGGGTGCTTTAAAATTTCTTTAAGTAACATTTCACACTTTGGGATACAGGCATTTTGAGCCTGCTATCCATTGAGGATTTTTTTTTCCTTTTTTACTTTGTATTGTCTTTATATTGTTGCTACAAGAAAAATATAAAGTCAACCCTCCAGTGTTGAAAAAAAGAACCCACAAGCTTTGCTTTGAGATCTCATAATAGATTATAAATGAATCATTAGATAACCTATGGCTTCCTGAGGTGAAAGTGACAAAGTATTTAGATTAGAAAGTATATTTTGATCACTTCTTTGGTTTCCACATTTCTCTTCCTGAAGGCATTACCTGGTAAATGTAATATCATTGCTATTTATAGGCATTTGTTTTTTTCCCTATGTCTTTAGTGCTGTTTGTATTTTCTTCACTGACAAAAGGGTTACAGGTAGCACAGAATAAACTGTTAATTATCTCATTAGGGAGTTTTTTTTTTTTTTTTTCCTAAGCTGCTATAATTCTTAGTAAACTAAGTTTTAGAAAAGATTACCTAGGTAACAATGTGTAAATGATTTTAGGTATTTAAAAATTCCCACTGGCTGGTGTCAGCCAAGACATATGTATAAAAAAAATACATCCTAAACTTCCCATAAAGATACCCTTCTTCCACTTCTTTAGGTTGCCTAACAGTGGGAAGATATTCTCTCTCTCTTCACAGACTCTAGAGCATTTAGTGCTCTAGATTTGACCTCATATTTCCATTTTAGCTTACTTTTCCACAGTTTGCTCTGGTAAACTAATTAAGTTATGCATTTATTTGTAATGGCGTCTATTAACATTTGCTTGCCTACTTTGGGCAACTTGAGCACCATTTCCCTGGCTTAGTTTCACTCTTCATATGTTCTTTCTTTTCTTCTGTTTCAACTTATTTAGCTATTGTTATCCACTGAAACTATTGTTAGCCATTGAATCCTACATGAGGACCTGCAGAATGACTCACCAGGTAAAGGCAATTGCACCCAAGTCTGAGGAACTGAGTTCAATTCCTGGAACCCACACAATAGAATGATAGAATGAACAAACTCCAGCAAGTTTTGCTCTGATCTGCATATTATACATGCCCACACACATACACATAAATAGATAATAATTAAATAATTTAAAATTTTAAACCATGTGTAAATTTCAACTTAGTGTTGTTGTCCTCCATAAACCTTTGTTTTATTTTCTCTGGTTTGATGATAGTTGGAAAACAGGTTGAAAGGAGGGAGGCAAAGTAGGAGATGATTGTAATAAATAAACCATTATGAATTAAGAAATTGTGTACTAATATTTAGGTTCAGTAGAAGTGATAAAAACAAATTTGAAAAATATTAAAAATGAGCAGTCAGAGTTTGATATAATTGTGATTAATTGGGCATGGGATTCAGTCATTCAGAAATATTTCTATAGCAATAATTTTAAAAAAGTTGGTAAGGGAAATAGATGGATCTCCTACCATCTTCATGAGAAGACTTCATTTCATTACACTTCTGATCATTATCTAAGTTCCAAAGTATAATTATTATAAAACAGATATACAAGTTGCGGTTAAATTGGAGTACTTGCAGTGATGACTGTCAGCACTCTGGAAGTGGTAGAACCTGCTAGAATGGAGCTGATGGACGAGGCAGACTAAAATCTCATGCAATAGCCTTTTGGAGCCTCAGACAATTTACACTCTGAGGATTAAGAAAGATCATGTGAGTAAAGTTCTTATGAGCTCAAGCTGTATACAATCAGAAGGACAAGCTACATATGGCAAAAACACGCTTTTCCATAGAAGCATATAAAGGGCAATTTAAACATTTAAATGAGTAACATATGCAAGCAGTGATAAGCAATTTGAAGGGAACTTGCTCCTTCTCGCTATACCTGGGAGGAGTGTGAAAACACAGGCCAAGAACAATTCTGTCTTTCAGAGAAACTGAGGCTGCATGACTCTTGTGTTGTATTTCCTTGGAGTGTTCTCATGAACGCTCAGAATTCTCCTCAACTGACTCCATATCTGAACCATGTTCCCACAATGAGGATCAAGGTCCCAGAGAAAAGTCCCAGCAGAAAAGATTTGTTCAGTAGAGTGTATTTATGCAGAGCTATGAGGGATTAACTATAAATGCAAAGACTATGCAGAGATGAGGGGTAGGAGCGGGAGCATGTTGACTCCATTGGGTAGGGAAAATTCATGTTTTGTTTGTGGGAAGTTTCCATTTGGGTCAAGGACTATTTGATGCCACTTCTGAGAGAAGTACTATAAAAGTGCTATTTTATTTTATCTTCCTTTACTTTTTATTATGTGTATGAGTATTTTGCCTGTATACATATCAGAGTACCATGTGCATTCAGTGCCTGTGGAAACCTAAGGAGGGCATTTGGTTCTCTGTAAATGGAGCTGCAGACAGTTAGGAGCTACCATTCAGATGCTAGGAATTGAACCAGGCTCCTCAAGAAGAATAGCCAGTGCTCTTAACCACTCAGCCATCTCTCCAGATCCTAGGAGAGTGATATCTCAGTGGACAAGTATGGAGTGAAGATAATTTTTCAACTGATGATGAATTAATTTTTAATGTTTGAGGAACCTAGGCAAAATTAGACATAATACCGATGACTCAAAATATGGGGGTTCTGACTGAGTGAAATGTATAGCTGAGGGTGGGACAGTGTGAGGGAAGGAAGGAGGGAGGGCAGGAAAAGTGAAAGAGAACAATTTTAGGTTTGTTCACACAAAGTGTGTAGCTGAAATGTAAGAAGGGATTTCACTTCTTAAGGAAGAAAGATGGAAACAAAGAAAAGCAAGAAGAAGAAAACCTCAGCTATTTTGTGAGTGCTTCTCTGATATTGGTCCCTGTTTGAGATTGTCCATTTCCTAAATTGCCTGTAAATGACATGATCATTGTTGGATGTAGGAAAGGCAGCATACGTGTGTGTGTGTGTGTGTGTGTGTGTGTGTGTGTGTGTGTGTGTGTGTGTGTGTGAGTGTGTGTGTATACTTAGAATGTTATTAGAGTGTGAATAGAATTTTGACAGATACATCAATTCAGGGATGAGAGGTTATATTAGTGGAGGAGAAATTGTTAATGGAAACAAAGAAGATGTCAGGTAGAAAGATGCAGGTGGACAAGCAGAGGGCCTGTCTTTCCTGAAGAGCCTGGTGTTGCTGACAGCTGTTTCTCATCTGTCTGTAAGGGCAGAAGGCTATTGATGGAAAATTGCTCCCTGCATTGAATGGTTTCGTGTATTCTCCTAAGCAGTTATTTTCGATATGAGTTTCTGCTCCTAACTGGAGTTCCTATAGGATGTTAATTTAGACTTTGTGTTTACATAGCAAAATATTTGACATAAATGGGATGAGATTTATTTTGGGGTGTGGTTTCAAAGTATTTGGCTGCACTGATTCTAAGCTAATGCAGACCAGTACGATGGAGGCATATATAGCAGAACCTACCTCGTGGCAGCCAACAAGCTGAGATCAAGAAAGGACTGAAGGGCAGATACAACCTTCAATATCCTATTCTCACACATGTAGAGGGCCAATGTTGGTCCTATTCAGGCTCCCTAGCTGTTAGTCCAGAGTCCATGTGTTCCTACAAGCTCAGGTCAGTTGTCTCTATGGGTTTCCTCTGTCATGACCTTGACACCCCCTGGCTCCTGCAATCCCTCCTCCCTCTCTTCAGGAGTACTTTCAGTGCTTGGCTGTGGATCTCTGCATCTGCTTCCATCATTTGCTGGGTAAAGCCCTGTGCATGTGTGTGACAGTTGTGTAGATTTTGGTCTATTTGTAAGGCTCCTAGAAGGACTCTCATTGTGTTCTTTCCCCTAACGTGATCTCTGCTCCCACAACTGTGTTGCCAGCATCAAATCTGTCTGTAGTGCTTAACTGGCTTTTGGGAACCTGTTCCCCATGTGTATTCCCTTGTCCAGCCTTTATGCAAGAGGAGGGGTTCAGTCCTACCTCAACTTCATGGGCCATGATTTGTGTAAGTCCATGGGAGTCCTGTCCTTTTCTGAATGGAGACCTAGGAGGAGTGGATGGGACAGGGGTGGATGGGAGTGGAACACAGGAGGGGAAGAAACTTAACAGTATGTAAAATAAATGAAAAATGTTAATAAAATTAAAATAAACAATATCCTATTGATGACACCCACGTTCCTCAATTAGGCGCTACTTCCTAAAGTTCCTCCACCTTCTACATTAGTGTTGGGGTCCCACATGCTTGTCACATGACCTTGTGAGAAGACTTTCCTACTCATACCATAAAATGTAGATACTACCATGGAAGGGAATGGAAGAAAAAGCCACAAAGGGCCTTGGGAAACACTTCTGATATTCAGACCATCTGGGATGTGAGGATGTGTTTTTACAACCTCATATTTCTTGACAACTCTGCATTCTTTATTATTTACTGTTTATTTTTTTGGGGGGTTCTATTTCTCATTATCCTGCCTCTATTATTTTTATTCAGTCTGTCTGATCATAATTCTGCCTTTCCAATTAGCATTTTGATAAAAGTTAAGTCTTCTAAAAGTCAGGATCAAATTTCACCATGTTTATTAAACACTTCTCAGCATTTTAAAAGAATTGAGGCCCTGCATCTTTTTACTTATGTGTCCTGAAGTTTGAATTCTGACCTTAAGTTGCCTGGTGTTTAAATTTACAATAGTTTGAAGTTTCTTTCTAACACAGGACACAAGAAGTATTTTACCCTCAATAAATCATTGAGGTCATTCTACCAAACAGTTTGGGAGTTCTAAGAAAAATGAAGATTGAGAGAAATCGGTTAGAGACTTGATACCATTGAATGCAAAATGATAATACGTGTGTGTATGCAGATTGCCGGCAGCAGAAGCACCTTTCTTCATTTGTTGTTGTTTTTCAGGGACATCTTATACTGTAGCTCAGGGTAACATCAAACCTCCCAGATTTGGGGATTAAAGCTGTGTAACTCCATGCCTGGCTTTTCTTTATCCATTATTCATTAGAAAATGAAAGTAAAAAGTGACTTGGCGTGAGATCAAAGTTCTCATCACCAGACCATTGAGAATGAGGTTAATTAAGGAATCTGACAGACTCCTTTGCTATGTTTTGTTCTCTCTATAATACAGCAGTACTTCGAGATGGGTCCCTGACAGTTCCTGTTGTGGCCAGCAGATGCCTGCAAACACCGTTGAATCATTGTGAGCAGACCAATTTAGAGACTGATTCTGGGTTTAGGAAGTGAATATTGCTGGTCTCTTAGTGTTATTTTTTTATTACATGGTGCTCTGCCCTTTAAATCCAGGTGACTAGAAAGTTGAAAAGGTGATTTCTCTTAGAAGCACAGGACACTTAATAGTTTTCTTTTACAGAATTGAAAATCGGTGTATTTGTTTATCACTTTAAATTTTCACATAGAAATCATGAAATTAAAACTGTTGTGAAACCTGAGCTGTTCTTACAAGATCTTCAGAATTTCATGTTCACCTGTCTTCATCTTCTTCTCTAATTGATACAGGAGATGTACTCGAAAGGAATAATCCCTCTCACTGCGATATCCACAGTACGAGCTCAAGGAGACAACAAATTTGAAATTGTCACAACACAAAGAACTTTTGTTTTTAGAGTAGAAAAAGAAGGTAAGATTATTTTCCACTAACTAGCCCCTTCTTCTCCCTCCTCTTTCTTCTAAGAATCTGACCATGTTACTCAGTCTCACACAGAACTCACTATTCAGACCACAGGACAGGCAGGCCTTGAACTCTTAATCCTTTGGCCTTATTTCCCCAAGCCCTGAGAATTCAGGCACGTGCTACCCATACCTGTGTCTAAGATAATTTCGTTGTTGCTATCAAGATATTTAGTGCTCCTCATTTCTTACAAATCAGGTTAATAAAACAGGTAAAGAAAACCACTTTTAACTCTATTACTTCCAAATATTTTACCTTTTAAAAAGAGGTTTTTTTTTGCATGTACAATATTAAAACCTAAGTAAATTGACAAGTTACTCTGTGTGAGGTTACTGTTCCATATAAAAACCATTTTTTTCAAGAGCCATTAAGTATGGGATAATTCTTTAAGCTGTAGATATAACTGTGAAAATGGACTGAAAATAATTCTCTCACAGAGACCACTTTAATGTGTGATTTTGATAATGCAAAATAGGTATTCAAAGCTAAAAAGCAGCGGTCCTAATTATAAACGAGTTGATTTTAGGGAATCGTACACAAGGAAGTTCTTAGCTAAATGAACTGGCCAGTAATTTTTGGATTATAGATTTTGTACCAACTATAGTCACTGAGTTATTTTCATCGGAATCATTACTCTGGTTCTCCTGATGCAAGGATGACAGGTGGGGCAGAGAGATGTTCCAGCAGAGAAAGATCCTTGATGCTGAGAAAGATAACTTGAGTTTGTCCCTGGGGACCACATCTTGGGAGGAGAGAATTGCCTGCTGCAAGTTGTCTTCAGACTTCCATATGCACAAGACACATGTACCTTCACTCCTAAGTGCTTGTGTTTGTGAGCATGTGCTCTTGTGGTGAATTTGCATGCTCATATGCATGCATGCACACACACAATGTAAATGTGAACACAAAGTAGAACTGTGACCTGTGCTTTTCGGATTTAGTCTAAAAATATACAGAAGAGTATTTGGAGGTAATAGGATTCACAAGTTCTCTACTGTGCACTTGTTGGATTCTCATGATGTACTATGGCTATAACCCTTAATAGTTTTAAATCATACAGGTAAGGCTAGTTACTTGATGAAATTATTAGAGACTGACCTTATTTTAGAAACTATTTTGTGGTATATTTATACATGACCTGATTTTTAACAAAGTGTTTTCTTAGTGTACTATGTTTCAATAATAATTGCACAAGGAACTTACTGAATGCTGTGTATATACCAGACATTTTGCCAAATTCAGCATCATAACAATCTTTTAAGTCAGTTTGCATGAATATTGTCCTACTTTACACACAAGAACATCTAGCCTCAGATAGCAACTACTGTGATGCTAAGCACTGTACAACAACATTGCCCTTTAAACTACTCCATTCCTGAACACATGTTAGCCTATGGTACAAAGAAAGTGTTCAGTAAATATGTATTTCTAGAAAGTTCTCATTTTTACCGAAGGTAATCACTAGTGAGAATCACCCAGCTGCCTGTCAGGGAGCAGTGTTTTCCAGTCTTTGATTGCTGATGATTTATGAAATCAAACTAGAAGCTTATGTTGCTGCTGAAAACAAAAACGTCACACTAACCCTTCGGAAAATAGCATAAAAAAAATGTCAAAGAACAGTGCTTAGAGGGCATATTGTACTGTGTAACAAATCTATGTAGATGTTGCATATGTCTAGTATAGAGAACATTTCATATTTCTACATATTGTAAAATACATTTTTTTTTAACTAAAAGGTCATCATAATACTTTCTCCCTTCTGTTTCCTCTGTCCAGGCCCTCCTAAATATTCACCATCAAACTCCTTTCATGTTTTCCCCTCAAACTCAAGATAGCCTCCTCTTCCCTAAATATTATTCACACACACACACACACACACACACACACACACACACACACACACACACACACATTCACACACACATGTATTCAGAAATACATAAATGCAACCTTCTGAGGTTTTGTTGTTAGTGTGTATATGGTTCCAATATGGTTCCAGAGATAATAACTTTGTATTGGATAGCCAATCAGGGTACTCCTCCCTGGAAGAGGCTAACATGCTCTTTCTCATCAATCACCAGTTGCCTGTAGTCCCTGTTCATGGGTGTGCACCTGTGAGAATTTCCCCCTTCTTTTTACATTTCTATTGTTCAGATCTTGTTTATGCTGACATTCTAGGGGAGGCAGGGTCACATCAGCAGGTTTCCTGGCTCTTAAAAATCTTCTCTACTGCATCTTTCATCATGTTACCCTCCCCATAGATTCAGGAGCTGTTATGTAGATGTATCCATTATGTCTGGGTTCTTCATCATCCACTGATCTCTGCACTGTTGTGTTTAGTTGAGGTTTTTTTGTTATGGTCTCCATTTACTGTAAAGAGAAGCTGCTTTGATGAAGTGTGGTAGCCACTTATGGGCGAGTATAAGAAAACAATTTAGAGTGTAATAAGGAATTCTGCTGGTGTTGCAAAGTGGCTATAGTAGATTCTCAGACCATGACTTCACCAGCCCTGGAAAGTTGGCTACCTTTCTAGTACCAAGCATCAGTCCCTCCTGTAGAGCGGATGTTGAGTCTGATTAGACCTCTTTGGTTGCTATCAACATGTGACGACCATTTACTATACCTCTATGGATATCTGACCAGTTTTGTCATTGTTGTGGTTCATAGATGTTACAGCTGTGTAGGATTATTAATTGCCTCCCTCCCTTGGCAGCTTGCATAGTATTTAATGGTATGATGGAAACTATACTGCAGGACAATGACACCCAAAACAATATAGACTGTGACTGTTACCCTTGGTTAACTCTCAGAATTTGAAGGTAAGCTCACGCTGCTGAATACACTGCACACATAGGACACAGATTATTTGAGTTGACTTGGCATTTACAAGAAAACAACACCAGCACAGAGACCATTAACCTGGCCTACAATCTAAATCTCACTACAGAAGTCTTGTTGGCCCTTCGTCACTCTAATTCATTTATGTATCAGCACCAGGTGTTTGCAAGCCTCTACCCTGGAGTGTTTTGTAGAGCATTGTGCATGAATAGCCACTTCTGCAAATTGTAACTAAAATACCTTTGCAGTTTGGCATCTTTCACATTTATACTATGTAGTTTTGATTAGACTGGGTTTCATAATAAAAATATTGTTATTTTCTTAATTAAAGGTGAATTATATTAAAATAGAATTACTTTGAAAATTGTCTTCCTCAGAGAGAAATCTCATATTGACTCCTCTTGTTTTAGGGCAGAAACACTGGAATGGGTGTGGAGTTCATGGCGTTATGATCCTCAGTGATAGCTGCAAATACAGAACTTTTCAGACAGGTGACACTGTGGGGATCTATTTCTCAGGGTTAGAGCAGAACTTAACAATTCTGATTGGGTTTGCCTGGCCAATACTGTTCTCAGAACCTGATTGTTAATGGTATATGCTATATTTCTGTCTATCTGAACACATTGCAGACCCTGGGAAATAGGCTAGTCAGACACTCAACTCTAGGTATTAGACAGTCCCATAATGTTGCTCTGACTCTGATACCCAAGGGGTTGTTAAATTAAAAACAGTTTATTAGACCTGGCATAAGAAGTATACTCCAGTTGTTTAGGGGAGTTACAACAGAGTCAGGTGCAAATTATGAAATGTTTCCTAACTTCATTATTCACTCTTCTTATTCTCATTATTGGTAACTATCTGCTTTGTTGATTACTCCATGGTATTATTGAAATCTCTTAAAGATGTTTTAGGACCATGCTAGGATTCCGAATTCCTTTTAAAAAATATTGTTTTCCAAATAATGTCTTTTGAAGAAATTGAACAAAGGAATGCATAAGTATATGTATCTACTTTTCACTTCCCTACCTGCTCCCCACCCCATCCACCCTCCACCATCCACCCTCCACTCCCCAGGCAAGGTAGGGCCTTCGATAGGGGCTCCCCAAAGTCCACCACATCATCCTGGGCTGGGCCTAGGCCCTCCCCCATGTGTCCAGGCCAAGAAAGCATCACTTCATATGGAATGGGCTTCAAAGTCCAAGGGTCTTTCTTTAGATCAGATCATATTAGAAGTAAAGTTCCTGGCTGGGTATGATGGTTTCTTGAAATTCTAGTACTCAGAAGGCAGAGGTAGGTGACTTCTACAAGTTAAAGTTTATCCTAGGCTACAGAGTGAAAGATTTGTCTAAAGAGAAAAAAAATGAAACAAAAATAAACCAAATAGTGAAGATTGAGTTACAGTTTGTGATTATGTTGCTATTGGTGGTTATCTGCATACCCCTGTGTTACATTCTCTGGTATCCTTTGTAACTAATGAGTTACTTATGCTAAATTTGAACTCAGAGAATACAATCTTTTTGTGACATTTTGAACTTTCCTGTTTCTTTGGTGTTTCTGAAAGTGCAAAAAAATAATTTAAGTTTGATTGAAGAGGCTGCCATTTTATTTTGTTTACATTATAACAAACCATTTTTTGTAATTTATATTTCCCCCTAATTTGGTTGGCTATCCATGTAGAAAAGCCATAATATGGAACATTCCAGAAGGAATGGTGCTTAGGAACATAATACATTGGTATACACTATCAAGTAACATATATGTACTACATTCTTTCCTATAAATGCATACATATGATAAAATTTAATCCTTAAATTAGAGACAGTAAAAGATGAACATATTTTTGAGATGAACTACATATGATAAAATTTAATCCTTAAATTAGAGACAGTAAAAGATGAACAGCAATAGCTTGTGAGAACATATTTTTGTAAAAGTTAAACTAATGAAATCATTCTGTCTAAAAATATTTCTGAGTATCCTTTTAGCTTTTTCACAGGAAGCACTATACAGATCTTCTTGGGCAACTTCTAAATTGCCATACATTATTGTGGCCACACTTCAACACCATTACTAAGCAGTATAAAATTTTAGGGAATATAGGTACTGCACAGCCATGGTTTTTTACTTGATATCTAAGATGCCTAGTGGAAAAACATCTCATACAGAATGGCTTGTATACACTGGGATAAGAGATGTGCCATGTCTTAAAGCAGAACAGAGTGGGATGGCTTAAAGCTTTAGCACACTACTAAGAATGGCATGTAATTTAAAGTTTACTAATTGTTTATTTATGGAATTTCACACATTGTTTTTAAACTGTAGTTCAGTGGCTCGGCTACATTAGCACCTAGCTCATCTCAAACCATTTATCAAATGGAAAATGATTATTTGGTTTGGAAATTGTCAAAGCATGTTTCCCTCATCTAAGGATGCACATACGCACAGCCTAAGACAAATGACCCTTACAATCTGTTTTATTCTGTTTATATTATCTCTTCATTGTTTCTCTCTGTTTAGTGAACTGGGTGTTCCTGTTATTTCTTGTTGTCTTTTTTATACATGGAATTTGTTTGTTGGCAATTTCATATATATTATTAACAAACAAATTTCATCAATAAAAATAACACACACAAACATTCCATTTTCTATACTCTCACTCCCCACTCTTTCTTTGTTTCCTTTCACCCCTGTTACCACATCCTCCTCCTAAAGGTTTATTTCCTATATCTGTGTCTTTGTATTGTTTTGTGACACCCTGATTTTTAACCACAATTATCTGTGTCTCCATCTGTATCCAAATATCTACTGGAGCCTGGTGGCTTAACAGTTTTGTGTACAACTGAAGATGACTGTCCCTCTCCAAGAGGGACAGGTTTGAAGAATTCATCAGTCAGGGGTAGGGGTCTGTGAGCCCATCCTAAATCTGTGATTGGCAATTAACAGTCTTGTTCAGGACCAATTCAGGTAAATACAAATGTAATGAAATCACAATGACTATTTTGTGTACAAGAAAGCATTGCAAGTCATTTACCTCCCTCCCCTTTTTGCTTCCTGGATTCTTATCATGTTTCTGAAATGTTCTCTGAACCTTATGAAACTGAGGGCTGCTCCATATTAAAGAACACTTGCCCAGTACTGTAAACCTGGTCCAAACCCCATGGCTGGGAAGGTCATAGACCCTCACTACTGTTTTGTAGTTTAATAGCCTTGGCACTAAACTATAATCTCAATATTTATGTTATTACCCATAGAAATGACTTATATCATTGGAGAAACTTCTCTTTGCAGTGAACAGGAGAGCATGTGGAGACAATAGAATCCTCAAGGGGCTTAGAATAAATGACAGATGAGTTCTCAGCTCCAAACAGGACATTCATTTCTTATTGTTTGTTTATTTCCTATTACTATTGAAAGACTCAGGAGCTAAATAATCCTAGGGAAAGATCCATTTTTCTCAGTACTGCTCTAATAAAAACACTCAAAAGATGCAATTGCCAATAATTATTTACTGAGAAACTGAGATATAGCTAACTGTGCTCTTAAAGCCACAAAGCTTTGATCTACTTCATTGCATTATATTTATGTTTGAAACTGTTTTATGAATGTTCAGCCAAGCAACCATCCTTTACATGACTTGGCAGAAATATCTTGTGTGTAACCAATGCACATAAGTAATAATCACATTAAGGTTATTATAGTACGTTTTCCCAGTGCAGCCTGAACCTGCTGCTGAAGATGTCACACTATGGAGCAATTGTTGCTTGTCGGCATTCACTAAGGATTCTGGAATACTTGCAGATGTATGAAAGCACTGGGGGTATTTGAAATGTACTTCATCTCAGATATGTAGGAAAACACCCAATTGCGGGGATTATGTAATACCACAAAAGCAATATTGACTTTGAGCATTGATAGAACTCTTTTTAGTACTTCAAAAGTTGTGATAATTTAGTAATTAAGATGTATTGTGAAGTAGTTTTGCATTCTTAATTCAATATGAGTGTATCTCAAAAGGAGACTAACTGTGATCCACAGTGAAGTTGTGGCTTCTCTGATAGGCGGTCCAGTCGGAAAACCTGTCCTATGTCCTCTGGTTTAACTCTGGTTACCCTTTCTTTGAGAAATTTTGCTACTTGGTATTCAGTCTGTTTTAATTTTTTCTTTTGTCCTGATAATCCCTTCCCTGTTCGGTTTGGGAAGCCACTGTTATCCTTGCAGATAAAGTTAGACTCCTGGTTTTTGCATGTTTTTCTCACTGTACATTTGACATTTATCCACATCTATGGGTCTTTTCTTGTAGAGGAGGTCTCTACAAGACCTCCTAGTCTGTTGCTAGTCTGTTGAGATATGCCAGTGTTCTGAAAATGGGCAGTGTTCTGTGAACTGGATCCTCCTGCCATTTTTCATAGCCATTTTATAACATTAAACTTCCTTTTATTCTGTGCTGTCTATTTTAGGTTAACATCCATGAGTCAGCTATGTCTTATTCCCTTTAATATACCAACACTTTGAATGTTCATATGTACTTAATCTCTATTGTCTTGTTCCTGAACTCTATGTTCCCAGATTGGCCTACCAGCCATAAACATAGGCATCTCAATCCTGTCTCCTCCTTGCTAATTGTCCTGAAGTGCTCTTCCTTTGTTTCTGCAATCTAAACTAGCTAGTGGATGTTTTCTGTTCATATTTCTCATAATTCCCTGTGCATGCAAAATTATGCATATGTCTCTCTTTAAGTCCCTGAACCAGTGTTGGTTTCTGATGCTTTTTTTCTTGTGTTGTCCTTGCTCAGAATTCTGCTCTGCCTTTCAGGCTTCAGTTTAGTTTTTCACATTGTTTCTCATTTTCAAGATCTATCACAAGTCGCCCCCTCCCCACCACCACCTTTTATGCTGCCAAATTCAGTTGTGTAGGAGTTGACATAATTTTTATTATAATTTTAGCACTACCTTTCCCAATGACCTTCAGCAAATCACTTACCTCAGTTGAATGGACTCATATATTACTTGATACCATTTGTATGACATTTATTCTAGTCTGTGCTCCATTATCTGTTCAAATCTAACTTGACTTATTGTCTTGATTGCTCTTTGGAGACTATATCACATTTCTATGTCCATAATACAGTATGGTACATAATTGAAGGTCACTTGGCTTGTACAGAGAGAGTGTGAATACCATGTTTTACTTTGCCAGCTGAGTTATAAAGCTTTCTTTTATGGGTATTTCCCTGTTTCATCCTCCAGTTGAGTACTGATGCTACTTTCTTCTGTACTCGGTATTTTTACATGGCTCTGACCAAGCACCTGACAGGCACCTTAAGGGAAAAAAGTCTTAGATTGGCTCACAGTTTCAGAGCTCAGTACCTGGTCACTTAGCCTCTGGTTCTAGGGAAGAGTCAGCCAGTGGAGTATTTAAAATAGAAGCTTCCTCACCTACTTAGAGAGAAAAAGCAGAGAGGAAGAAAGACACTTGTCAATGGGTATAGCCTTCAAAAGAAGTACTCTTCGTATAGCTACTTCTTCCAGCTGTGACCCTCTATTCACTTTCCATTACTTTGCAAATTAGTACCACCAAATTGAGGGGGAGGGCAGCTCACAGAGGAAAACCAATCTCCTAAATGATCTAAAAGTGTTTCTCAGACATTAATAGGCTCCTCAGCCTCCTGGAGTTCTTTCTCAAATTCTGAGTGTTCTTTGGGGTTGGAATGGAGCCTGAGATATGGCCTTTCTTGTATGGTCCTAGAAGAAGCTCATTGTAGTGGCTCCAGGGCATCTATGTAGTCTTTTCTGTTCTGCTAAATTCGGACTCTTGCCTCTGCTGACAGTGGAATTTAGGCTGTGGTTGTGATAAAGAATTTGTATGTTACTTGCTTTAAAGCAAGCTAATCTCATGTTGAAGTTTTCTGTCCACATGTCTTATATATACTCTCCTCTAATTTCAGAAGAGAGAAATGATTGGATCAGCATATTATTAAGTGCACTGAAGTCACCATCCCTTACTGCACAATTGCAAGCAGCTATGGCCCCCGAGAAATGTGGATATCTTGAACTGAGAGGCTATAAAGCCAAAATTTTCACTGTATTAAGAGGGAACAGTGTGTGGCTCTGCAAAAATGAGCAGGTAAGCTTTGTTACATTAATTGTAAATTACTATTCTTTGATGATAGCAACTGTGTTTAGCTTTTCTGTTTTTATTTATAGTTTTGCTGTTGCTTTTAAATACTGCACTAACAATAAGAAAGAAAATCTGGTTGAATGCATTGTTTCAGAAAGTATTTCCTTCAGACCTGGGGCTGCATGCCACCTTTTTAACAGACTGGGGAAATAGCATTGTTGAAAAGAATTGTTGAAATGTATGCTTTAGTTGAAGTAAATATAGCTGTCAGAGATTAATTGAGAATAAGTACAGATATTGTCAAATGGGACTAATTCTGTATCTGTGTGATAGAAGATTAGAAGACAAAACAAGTAACCAGGTATATTAGTTGCTTTTCTGTTGATGTAAAAAAAACCATGACCAAGGCAACCTATGGAAGAAGGAATTGATTTTAGTTGATGTAAAAAAAACCATGACCAAGGCAACCTATGGAAGAAGGAATTGAGAATAACTTAAGGTTCTAGAATAAATAAGAATCCATCATGGCAGGGAGGCATGGTAGTGAGACTATTAAGCTGAGACCACACATCTTGAACCATAACCATGAGCACAAATCAGAGAGAGTGAACTGAAATGGACAAGGATGAAAGCTCCCAAAGCCCAACAGCAATGACATACTTCTTCCAGCAAGACCACATCTCTTACACCTCCCCCACCTTGGACTGCTAACTGAAGATCAAGTATTGAAAAATCTGAGCCGATGGGTGACATATCTTATTGAAACCACCATGTGTAGTTGTATTGTCCATATTTTTCTTTGAACAGATATTCTGTTTGTTATGAAACTGCTTTGGTAGTAGAGCCACATTAAAGAGAGGTGGGTATATATATATATATACCCACATATATATATATATATATATATATATATATATATATATACAATCATATA